AAAGAGAGAGAAGGGGGGGAGAAGGAAAGAAAGAAAGAAAGAAAGAAAGAAAGAAAGAAAGAAAGAACCCAGAAAGTCAAGGCTGATTGGTCCCGCTCAGTTTAACCCTATCTGTACTCCCTGGGGTAATTTTGTAGCCCCGGGGTTGTATTCTTCACATTTTAGAATACTTCTAGTGCGAAGATCTCTTTAAATCTTTCAGAATTTCTCAAAAAATCATTTTGACAGACTGCTATGCAAAGCAAGTAAATTTCCTCTTTGAAAGTGGTGACACAGACTTCCCCTCGTCGTATGGATACTATAGTAAAACACGGCGTACGGATAGGGTTAAGCTGTTCATAATCCTACATCAAATCTTCTCGTAGAGTCTATGATTATTCGTCTTCTTCCTCCAAAACGCAAGCCCAGTTGCAACAAGCGACATAGCGATGAGTGCTGAAATTGCGACGACAGGAGCGGCGTATTTCTTGGTGGTATTTGACTTGGATGATGATGCACGAGGTGTGGTTGAATTCGACGACGGTCCATCCGCCCCCAACTGTAAGCCAAGCACGCTGTTCCGACGAGTTGCGAGGAAAGGACGATCCTGAGGGGAAAGACAAGGAATGCTCGGAAAAGACGGGGTTCTTTCCTCTTTAGAAATACTACGTTATTCTGTTTATACACTGAGAGCAATTAATTAATAATACTGTGTGGGAAACCGACAACAGGCTCCACGCTCGATGCGTTTGGAGATAAAGATTTTTGGAGGGTAGGGTTAGGGGGGCTCTCGTGGTCTAGAGGTTAAGGTGTTCGCCTCTCATGCAATAGGTCGCGGGTGCGAATCCGGATAGCGACGGGAAACTTTCTTCTCTAAAAAAAATTCTCCTTTTACTTTCAAATCCTTCCCTGCTTTCTAACAATGTTCTATCGTCTGCTCTGGTCTCCACTTTTTGCCCCCGCCTCCTTTGCCCTATGGGCTCCTGGCTCTTTCTGCGGCCTTTCTACTGCTACTCCATGGCTCCTTGATGCTGTCTTTCAGCCACACCCATGATCTTATGGTAGGAAAGATCTACACCTAGCCTTCTCGGACAAGGGCGAAAAATCTCGGAGGTCCCGCGTGCAAGTTGCGCCCGTTAAAGATCCCTTGGTGGTCCAAAATCGATAAGGGTAGACTTCGGCTGCCACCAGAGCAAAATTCAAAGCACCTACCAACTGAAAATGTTTAATGTTAAGAAAAAGAAAGTAAAAAGGGAATCACCAGAAATGGCTAATTTAGTTGTTTTTTTTATTATAATAATAAATAAAAATAAAGACAACAATTTTCGTGTAGACTCAACTGAAACTTTTTCCTACACATAGGTGTAGCCTACATATTAAAAGAAATATGTGCTTCTCTGGTAGAGGGAAACATTCTGTTGTGAGGCACAATGACACGCCCCCCCCCCCAAACTATAAGT